TGCTGCTGCTAATACTAAACCTAATAAACCACTACCTATAGAAGCAAACACCACCAGCAGAGGCTGGGGGCGAGACAGCCCCATAAGCACCAGCTGCATGCATAGATTAGCCACCTGATATAAACCTAGAAAAAGATTGTTTAGGTCTGGGCGGCGCAGCTTCTGCAGCAGTATAAAAGGAAGAGTTTGTATAACAAAGTTCCAACATATGAGAGATGTACACCCCAATAAAACAAATAAAAGATAAATAGATGGCTTTCTCTTGCACTCTTCTGATGCTTCCTCTGTCGGGTGTACAGACAGCGTAACAACACCCTGAACACCACTACTACCACCCGTACCGCTGCTGTCGTTTCTGCTGCTGCTGCCGTTGCTGCTGTTGCTGCTGCTGCTGCTGCTGTCGTTGATGTTGCTGCTTATACCCAGAGCTTCTCCGCTTGTTGCAGCTGAAACCATCGGCAAAGCTGTGCTGGAATAGCTGCCGCCACCCCCCCATTTGCTGTGCAGCAACGATGCACGCCCGCAGGTAGGTGAGTCTGCTGCTGCTGCTGCTGCTGCTGCTGCTCTGGGCTTTCCTCTTGCATCATCGAGGGGGCCTTCAGGCCGCTGAAACCCCTCAAAGGTCGCGGGGAGAGAGGCTGTTGAGCCCGGCATCGTGAAAAGGAAAAAGAGAAAGCAATACTGCAACAAAAAACGGTATTCAATAAGCAGAGAAGGGGGGAGAGCTGGGGGGCCCCATGTATGCCGTCGGCGCACTGAAGCAGAGGAAAGATGCAGAAAATGTAGAAAGAAGAAAAAGAAGAAAAAGAAAAATAAACTAGATATGACAAAGAAACACACAAAAGAACAAAACAAAGATGTGTATTCAAACACAAGTACAAGCCAAAAGGCCGCACGTGTTGCACAGCCAGCACGCACTCTCGCACGAGCAACGTGAGGGGGATATAAGCTGAGCTTTGTTTGAATTTTTCGATGTAAAAACACAAATTGAACTTATATTCATATTTTAAGATCAATTCCGCGCAGAATGACGGCTTTACTGCTGCAGTCGTCAGAGGGCTGGCCAGTGGTGGGGCAGCCGCATGTGCACGCGTTTCAGCGGAAACTTCGGGGGTAAATAGCTCCTTTTCTCTAAAAATCTCGCGAATTAAATGTCTTTAAACAATTTGTTTATAAATATACAAAAAAAATGAGCACAGACAGACAGATAGGCCTCAAAAGATACCGCATGTTTCCTAACCGCTGCACACCCAACCGGCACTTACGCGTCTCGACTTCTCGCGGAGAGGGAAAGCGTTGTTTTCTTCTTGTACACAAATATATAAACTTAATTTCCCTTTTCCTGAATAATAAATGTTTTAGAATACACAGTAACCCCGTTAATTACTGTGTCTATATGACAGACAGGGGGGCCAGAAACCTAAGAAACGGTGTGCACTATACAGCTGCAGCGGTAGTTGCTGCGCGAGCAGGCGGTGGTTTTCAGCCGTTTTAAGCTTATTTTTGCTCAAAGAAAACAAACAGATGAAGGTAAATAACATATATTTAGCTGCAAAACGCCGAAATTTGCATTTTTTTTCGTGTTTTATGCAGCAGCGGGGGGCCTGGACCTCCGGGGTGAGACCGGGGAGGACCAGTTGAGTGGAAGACATTCAATAATATGATCTTTAGAGAGAAAGCTATAAATTATAATTCTTTTTTAATTGTCTAGTTTCTGTGAATATGAGGGTGAGAGAGGAGAAGACTGAGAAATTCAGTTTTCGTGTTTCTGTACAGCTTTCTGTTGCAACTCGTGCTGCTGCTGCTGAACACCGCTTACACGGAAACAAAAAACTTTTTGCTGCATGCAGTGACACTGCAGACAGTTAACTATGGTGGCTCTCTACACCCTCACTAACCCTCAACCCACCCAGACCGCTGTACATGATATAAGGGTTTCGTGTTTCTTACGGGTGCTGGCGGTAGGCTGAGACAACGCCACCACAACCTGAGGGTTTAGGGTTTATAGACTATGTCTGATGGTTTAGGGTTTAGGGTTCTACTGTCCACTCTGAGGGTTTAGGGATTGCCGTTTGGCTATTTAGGGTTTAGGGTTTAGGGTTGTGCTATTCGAACTAGCGGTTTTAGTTTTAGGGTTTAGGGTTTACGGATTCAGTGTACGAGGGTTTAGGGTTTGGAGTTGAAGGATTAGATGTGGCGGGGTAGGGTTTAGGGTTCCGCTGATAAAGTATTTTGCTTCTCTCTCACCGCACAGTGACAAGGGAGAATCTACAGCAGCAGCAGCAACTGCAGCAGCAGCAGCAACTGCAGCAGCAGTAGCAACTGCAGCAGCAGCAGCAACTGCAGCAGCAGCAGCAACTGCAGCAGCAGCAAACCACCCCCCTCACCGCATGCAGAAGAGCACAGCAGCACCACACCACCACCACCCCGCCCAGCACGAATTCAGAATATAGCGCCGCACTGCAAGGGAGGCAGAGGAAAGCTAAACAGTGACCCTGGAGGGGCCCCCATGGGGGCCCCCACGGGGGCCCCCATATGAACTCCAACAGGTCCGCTCACAGGGGGCCCCACGACAGTACCTAGAGGGGCCCCCATTCCAATGGGGGCCCCCATGGGGGCCCCCATGGGGGCCCCCCAGGGTACAGCCCCGTATACTCCTGCATGCATGTGGTGTTGAGGGGCTGATGAGGATTGCCATAGAGAAGGATGCATGTGGTAGTGGGGGGTACAGTGGGTCCCTGTTAGAACGGCGCATGCAGAGGGTGCTGCTGTTTGTGCTGCTGTTGCTGCTGCTGCTGCTGCAGGCGCTGATGCTGCTGCTGCTCCTGCTGCTGCTGTAGGGGTTGAGAGAACCCGACAGACGTCGTGGTGGTTTGGCTGTACAACATGGGGTGTACGTACACTCCAGAGAGGAGGAGCAGCAGAAGAAGAAATGCAGCAGGAGGGTTTAGGAGCGATACGAGGGCAAGCACAGAGGGGCCCCTCCATTACTAGGGTTTGTGTACCTCCTACTGAGCAGCATCTTCTCCTTTGCTGCTGCTGCTGCTGCTGTTGCTGCTGCTGCTTGTGCTGCAGTTGCTGCTGTGTCTTTGTCTGCCGTGCATGCAGCCGCAGGTAGCTGTCATCGACATGCAGCGGCAGCGAATGGGCGTGATCATATGTTTTTCGTATTCTGTTTTTCAGGTGTACGTCCACCTCAGGGTTTACTTCTCTCTCTAACACAGGGAATGCCTCTCTATGTTTAGGTATTCGTTTCAGCCGCTGCTGCCGCAGCAGCTCTTCTTGCGTCCTCGATAGCCGCCTGGGTAGCCTGTTCCCTGTCTGCCGCTGGTGCAGCAGCACATGCTGCTGCTGCTGCTGCTGCTGCTGCTGCTGCTGCTGGAGATAGAATTTCTGCTGCCGCTGCTGATGCGCGCCGCAACACTCAAGAGAGAGCAAAGGGTAGTGAGAGAAGCGGACGTCATCGTCTACTAGGTCCCAGTCTGTTGCTAGCAGCACATTCCCGTGTATATTCAGCTCCCCTTTAAAGTTTTGTGGTGTAGTGGGGGCTTGGGGTTTCTCCTCTGGTGGGGGTGGGGGGGGCTCAGGCTCCTTAGGGGCCTCCTCTGGCTGCAGGTCACACTGAACTGCTGCTACTGCAAGAGATGGCCGCTGCTGCCTCGCTGACACGCGATATGCTGCTGCTCTGCATGCTGCTACTGCTGCCTCGACTGTAGAGGAGTCAGAGTCGTGCTCGTTGCAGGCACAGAAGCGGTGAAGCGATGCGCAGCCGCAGCGGCCGGGGTCCCCCGGGTTCTGCATGGCCGCGTGCTGCTGGGGCCTCAACACGAAACAAATCGTAAAAAGAACAAATAATAACCAGAAATACAAATGAAAAAAACAAAAAAGGAAAAGAGGAAAACAGCTTAGAGCTGCGGATACACCCGAAGGCGCCGCGGTGCTGTGCTGCAATGAACGGGAGCCACTGGTCTCAGGCTTCTTCTCTTAGGTCCTTCTTGTGCATGCATGGTGGAATAAAACCCAAAGAAGAAGAAGAAACTGGCGAATTTATATAAACGCAAAAGTAAACAACTCAAAGAAGAGAAGAACCGGGGCCCTACAGCCACAACTCGCGCCTCGGCTCACTCGAGAAGAGAGCACGTGCCGCCGCCGACGGCGTGTGCAGCACGGCAGCAGAATGCATGCACGAAGTTTCAGAATGATTTTGAAATAAAAACTAAAGAAAAAAGAAACACAAACCAAAAAAACGTAAATAAAGAAAAGCAGTTCACACGAATAGCCACAACGGTCTGTCGTCAGCCGCCGATCCTCCCGTTTATTGAACAGAGAGGAAAGCTGCACTAAAACGTGTTTTCAGAGCCTCATAAATTAATTACAGAAATACAATACAGTACATTTGCAAAAAAACATAAATTAAATGCTGAAATATATCATATAAATTAAAAAACCGAAAAAGTTGAATGCAGATCGACGAACGGGAGAATACGCAGGTCGATACACCTTACACCGATGGCAAACGACCGACTAAAATATTGCAGCTTTTTGTGTTTTTTTCATTTTTAAATCATAAAAAATCAAAATAAAGTTCTATATACGCAATTCTATGCATTATATACCCCAGGAAAGCAGAGAAACCCTGCGCTTTCCGCGTTGATTCACCCCATCATTCAAATGTTGAATATGCCCGGGTGTACGTACACCCGAAAAGATGAATTGCAGTGCTCCTCTGCACGAAGCACCGAAACATTAAAACAAAGCCGCATCGACTGGCCAGGATACTATGCATGAGTATACGCTCCGGTGTATATTCAGGTTTCTCCTCTGAAAGAGACAAATATACTATCGAGCTACAAACAAAGCAGCACTAAACTACCCCTAGGTAATTCAATACAGTTTCGTGCTGCTGCTGAGTTGAATTGAGGCTTTTGCTGTGTCCTCAACGACAGACTGTAGCTGCAACAACGCGAGAAAAGAAAATCTCCTTAAACAATTAATTCAAAATAATAAAATAAAATGAAATAATAAAATTATCACTGCGTTTCGGCTATCTGCCGATTTGCTTTCTGCGGTGTATCTGTATTCGAGCTGCACTGTACATACACCTCAGCGCCCTTCGATAAGCAGCTCAGCACAATGCATGTGCTGCACCAGAGCAGCAGCAGCAGCAGCAACAGCAGCAGCAGCAGCAGCAGCAGAAAGGATTGAATTAGTTTATTATTATATTTCTTCCCACTGCGCGTCACTGGAGGTTACGATAAGGGGGCGCCCCGCCAGTGAGTTTGTTGTTTCTTTTATCTGTCTCTCTTTTTCCTTTATTTTTTTTTGTTTTTGTTCTTCAGACTGCAAAGACATAACATTTGTATTTATTTTATTTATCTTTCTCTTTCGCTGCCACCTTTCTTCTATTCTTCTTTCTCTCTCTATATTTACTGCCTCTAAGGACCCCCAAACCCTCACAGCCAGCTGCTGCACCTCCTTCACTGAGTACAGCCGCATTGGCTTGAATGCCTCCCCGTGAGGGTTTGGCTGCTGCCGCACCTGCATCCTTCCTGCTGCAGCTTCCTCCCGCAGCAGCTGTTCTTTCAGACAGTACGCTGCTGCTGCTTGCTGCTGCGAGCACCAACCAGAGCCATCAGCAGCACCAGCAGCAGCAGCAGGTCCTCCTCCACCTCTACGCCGACCCGACAGCAACGAGCTGTACTGAGAGGGATCAAATGCAACCCCTACGCTGCTGCCTGAGGCTGAAGCAACCCCACCAGAAAACACAGATTCATCGTCAAGCAACGCCGCCAGTTCGTCGGTAATAGATGCTGCAGCAGCAGATGATTCCTCACAAGAACCACCTTGCTCATGCTGCTCCTGCTGCTCCTGCTGCTGCTGCTTCTGTTGATCCTGTTGCTGCTGCTGCTGCTCCTGCTGCTGGTCCGCCAGCAGCTGCTGGGGTTGCTGGCTCGGCGCGGCAGCAGCAACAAAGTCACCAGCAGCCTCCAGATGTTGTTGCGCTGCTCCTGACAATCCTACCTCCACTTCACTCTCTTGCTCTTGCTGCTGCTGCTGCTGCTGCTGCTGCTGCTGTTGCTCCTCAGGTTCTAGGTAGAAACCCCCAGACGCATCGCAGGCATCGGCGGACAGAAGCTCCTCTGCGTCATCCGCATCTGCCTCTGCCTGAAGGTGGAGCGCCCAAGCCTCCTGTAGGGCTGCTGCAGTGCAGTCTTCACTTGCTGCTGTTGGGTCTCCATGCAGTGCATCTTCTGGTGCTCGCGGTATACATACAGGGGCAGATGAAGCAGCTGGTGCGGCAGAAGAAGGAGCAGAAACGGGAACGGAATCCACCTCGTCCTCGGGCTCCCCTGCAGCCCCAGCGGGAAGATCGCACATTTGGCCGTCAAAGCGGCTGTTTCTAAGGAAGCCGCAACACCCGCCTTCACCTTTTTCTCTCTGGTTTCCTCATCTCTGGAGATCAGCTGGCAGTATGCAAAGAATAAGTCGACTCCATCAAAAGAAAAGAATTAATACCGACAAATGCAGAAAAATAAATGCTTATATGTTCCCTCGTTGCTCCGTAGAACCGGCGGTGATGCAGTTGCAGCGGGGCTGCATGCGGAGCATCCTCGGTGGAAACCTGCAATAAAACGTGAGAATTTCGTTTTTTTAAACATATTTTTGTCTTTTATTTTTAGTGACAATCAGGATTTTGCTTTGAAACAGCGAAATCAGGTACAGGGAGGGCTCGCCTGTCAGCTCGTATGTTCTTGAATTTCTTGGAGAAATGCGGGAAACTCGAACTAAAAAAAGAAAATGTTTCATGGAAAGTCTTTTTTTTGTTTCTAATATCCAAATTCCGCCTCAATGAGCCCCGAAACGGCTCCTGAAAAATTCACGTTTCAGAAGTTTCGCAATTCAACTTGAACTGGAAATCGTTGCAACACGGCAGTGAGGTGTACGTACACCTCAGCGCGGCCGTGGAGAGTGCGTGAACCTTTACTTTCCTGATTTTTTCTTCTTCTCCGCCACCATGTTGCCGTTTCAGCTGCGAAAGGCCGTCGAGGCCGCCCACCAAACGGCGCAAGAACAAATGCAGCAAAATCAGAACCAAGCAGAAGGGAAGTTATCCTCAGAGGAACACAGCCGGCTCGCAGAGCTCCAGAGACAAAGGGCCCATCTAGAGATGAGACAGCTGCAGGTAAGCATCCGCAAGCCTTCAGCAGCAACCACCCGAATTCAGCAGCAGCAGCAGCAGCAGCAGCTGCTGCTGCTGTTGCTGCAGCTGTTGAAGCTACAGAAGCGCTTTCAAGATCAGGATCAGCAACATCAGCAGCAGCAGGAAACAGGATGAAATATAGACAACAAGTTCAACATATTTTGTGCGGTGTACAGGCACAAGCAGGTTTGCTCACGCAGACGCAGGCGCAGATTGCTGCTGCAGGATTGGAGTGGCTGTATGAGGACCCCAAAAACAACGCAGAGGCGAAGGAAAGGGAGCGGGTGAGCGGCTCTCAG